AAAGACTTTACCACTTTAAAGTTGTGACTGGTAAACACATTCATTTGTTACACCTGATGTGAGTTAACTGCTGTTTCTTCTCTTTAAATGGCGCACACTTGCATGCTAATAGCTCCCGCTTGAGGAAAAACTTCAGACCACTGAACGGATGTAAATCTCCATCCATTTGCTTTACATAAAAAATGTGTTTTCCACCATTATAGCAGAAGTGCTATGGATTTCAGCTAAAGGTGCCTAAGTAAAACCAGGATATTTATAACCATTATATTTTCATAATTTTACAACTGTCCAAACCACTGGGACGCTTAACCATACAGAAAATGCTTAAAACTTTCCTCAGACAATACAACAGGAAAGCCACAGCAGAGACAATGGTGATGATGTTCTGCCTTATACTAGCAGCTCCATAACATCACATATTATTTAATAATCTTTACCAAGCTTTTTAAACTCAAAATAGTCATTTATTAATTAATTTTTCCTAACATGGCGATTACTGCCTTTAAAGCATTGTCGTTAGGTTATCCGTCAGTGGATACCAGTATAAGACCAAAAAATGGTCAACTGTAAACATCTCCACCCTCAAGACAATTTACACATGAACGTAAACAGCTTTAAAAAAAAATCTTAGAAACAAAAATAAATGCCATTTAAATGTTTACACAAACATTTAGATTGTTGGTGCAGTTTATTATTTATCAATTAAGAATACATTTCTGTTTCAAGAAATTATTACATTGTTATTATTAGTATCATTGTTGCTGCATTGGATATCATGATGTTATATTGTTATTGTCCAGTTAGGGGGAAACACTATAGTTCGTATCATCCACCTTTAACACACACACACACACACACACACACACACACACACACACACACACGCACACACAATCTGGCCTTCTTTATATTTCTGATCTACTATTTCCTCTATTGAACACAAAATCACCTGTTGTAGTGCTTTTCTTTCGTCCAGCAAGAGAAGCAAACTACACTATCATTAAAACTAATCAGAACTTCTACCCCCACCCACTGCTCACATTGCCATGGAAACTCTGCCAAGAGCGGGCTTCCAATACTGGCATAATAGAGCAAGCGAGAGAGAGAGAGAGAGAGAGAGAGAGAGAGGGAGAGAATAAGATTTCTGTCAATCTCTTCTCCTTCATGGTTTTGTGGTTTGCTGGAGCTTCTATCCTGACCTTCACTTCATGCTGAGAGGAAGTGATGTCACTATTATATGTGCACTCCACCATCCCACATTCATTCTCCATAAGAAGAACACAAAACCAGAATGATGTTCACTGGTTAATCACTCATCATCACAGTACACCCCAGGGGACAATTATCTAATCATTGATGTTATCAGATTTTTCACTTCATTATTCAAATCTGCCCAAATGTGACATGACAGAGGAAATGCAAATGGAATTCAAAAAAATACTGTTACATATTCATATCACTATTCAAACTGTGCAGCATCTCACAGGCTTCATTTTCTTTTATAATCAAGTTCAGGAAGAAGTGCATAGTAGAACTGCCTTCCATACCTTTCTCTGTTGCTTTATTACATGGAAAGACAGGTATTCTTTGATGGAATTTGACGAGCATGTTTCCAGCAATCAGTTTACCTCATTATTATGTAAAGAGGGCAACAGACATTGTCCTAAAGCAGCTTTTCTGGAATCTTGGTCTAGATCCCTAATGAGCATCCACAAGGATGACAGTGAAAGGAAAAACACCTTTAGCATGAGGAAGAGATTTTGAAAGGAACCACGACTCAAAATGAGAACCCATGTTAGCAGGTTAGCATCCAAGCACCAATCTTCGCTTAGCTTACACTGCACTAGCTTCATGATCCGTGCCTTTGGCAGGGACTGAAAACAGAAATAAGACACAGAGCTACAAACGCGTCCTGTTAGCTGTGCTGGTCGTATAGGCTCCAATTATTTCAATGGTTAAAAAGGAACAGTTGCTTTGTTTCTGCTTAACAGGTGGGTAACATTAATTTATTTTTGCTGTTTCACAGAATCAATGGGTGTGTCTCAAAACCTAGTGAGCTCTCTAAGTAGCCACTGTCTACATAGGCGGTGTCTAAGTAGGCAGTGTTCCAACCGTCATCTATCCTTATAAGGCAGATAAATGAGACGCTCTAGTTAGACAGCAGTGACGTTGCCACTTGTTCCCGCCCACTGCACGAGACCAGCGTTTACTTACCTCAGCCGTCAGAATCACAGTTAGCCAACATGGATCCCGCTCTGGCGGTTTATATAGCGATTTTAATTGTATTTGCTCTGAATGAAACAGCAAAATAGACAATAGTTGTGGTCAAACGCGGAAAGTATAGACTATTTGTGCACCTTTATGACTAGAAAACAGATAAATACCCCAGAAAATCAGAATAACTTACATTTGAAGATGACGTCGCTGCTTGGTGAAGCGCTTCTGCCCGCCATCTTCAAACCAAAGTTTCGCCGCGCTGCATCGCGGGATTGCCTCAGCGGCTGAAGAAACATCCGATGCTCTTTCGATATTGGGCCAAAATGAGAGACCTCAGTAGGCAGCATATTTGAGATATCCAAGAATTAGGACAGCCTTCTTGTCGGGAGCGCGTATATTGTGACGTAAAATGCTGTCTATGTAGAGAGCTCACTAGGTTTTGAGACACACCCAATATGTTAGTATTGCTTTGTCCAGTTTGCTTGTTTGTGGTTAGCTTCACAGTAGTAATTGTAGTGACAGTTTGCTAACCCACAACCTAGCCAATGTTAGTAAAGTTACATTACTTACTGTGCTGTTGTTTGCTCTATTGTTATATCGTGGCATTTTTCTATACAATGTTTGCAAAGGGCCTTCTGGCCACTAAGATCTAAAAAAGTGCTGTTTGCCTTGGCAATGCACAGCCTTAGATTTGGGGGGCAAAGCTTCTGAAGGAGCGCTGAAGGGAGGGGTGTATTTGTTTTGCTGTTGAGTATCACTTCTGCGCCTTTAAATGTGGCATCCGCCCCCTCCCTCTTTCATATTGGCTATCAGCTGAGCATGCTGAAAAGCAATCAGTATTGGCCCCAAAAACACATCTCAGTCCATCTCTAGTCATAATGACTTGGACAGACTTGCAGAGGCTATCTTTCACACTGAATGCAAAACCAAAATTGAAAGTAGAAAGTAAAAATTGAGTAGAATGTGGGAAGCGGCCATAAAGAAATATTTTAGTGGTAGATTCTCATAGTTCTGTGAGCTGTGGCCTCACCAAGAGATTAGATTAGGAACTCAGATTTACAACTGTGCTGAAGGATTGCTAAAGTTAGACAGTACACAAATGCACAGCTAAAACTTAACAAATGGAAGATTGCTTTGTCCTCTTGTAAACAAGCATGTTAGGGCATATTTCCTTCACAACCAGACAAACAAAAATACAGACAAAAAGACAGTTACTCTTCATTTGAAGGGCTCTTACAGTGGTCTCATTCCCCAAATCAGTGAGTGATTTGATAGTGATGTCGGATTCAGAAACAGGCCTAAAGCTTTGTAATGCCAGCTCCAAACAAGGCATAAACTGAGATGTTATCCAACAGTATAGTACAAGTGAATGAAAGAGTGGATTCTAATGAAATAGTAATAACCTATAAAGGTATAAAAGGCTTTACATTAAACATGTTCTAATAAAGACTCCTGTAAAGTAAAACACACTATAAGAATGCACCATAAGGAAATACAAGATTAGAATCATAAGCTTCCCAGCATCCTGCTGAGAATTACAGCAAACTAATGGGAGTTCAGCCTTCTTCAAGCTTCATCCCATTACACTAGAGCTTTCACTGAAGATGGCAAACACATCATCAGTACCAAGAAACTGGTGACCACATGGACTGGTTGGGTCAACTGTCAAGGAGGATTTATCTAAAACTACTTCTATTACAAACAACAAGCGCACAACAAGCAAACGGACGACGGGAGCGTCATTACAATGGAGCACTTCACACGAGATGAAGCAGGAGAACACTCCAAAGCCAATAGTTAACATGCGGCTGGAAAACCACGAACGTTTAGCAACATTATAGCTGCACGTCAACAAAAGCACATCGATTTCACAAGGCGTGAGTCGGTCTTTGAATCGATTACATCACTGAGTGGACAGCACAGGCAATAAAGCCGGAAAACCAGTCCCGCAATGCACAAAGGATCACGGTGTTACGACATGATAATTAATGCTGTCGACTTCGTCAGAGCCTAAACTGGAAAAAGCACCGGGCCCAATGTGGCCCTGAATTCTGCCTCTTGTGTGAAAAAGGAAGAGCTCCTCTAGATTGCGCCGCTGATTTACTTCACAAAACAAAGCCACAAGATGAATGGCTGGCTGACTTCATGATGGCCACACTGCTTTTTCACCAGTCGTGTGAAAGCTAACCGTTACTACGCTTAAGTCACATCTGTAGCCACTCAATGTAGTGTTCAGAAAGTAATAATGCGCTATAGGCCTATATAGCAAAGCTACAGTGGTCTACTTTCGTCGACCCACATATGTTTATACGGTACTGACTTCAACTGGACACAATCTGCATATCGGCATTCTATGTCAAATAATTCACAAATGCAACTCATGACGACGAACTACACAACGGCAGTAGGCGTAGTTACAATTACCGTACCTCATGTGAGTCACCTGCTTGCGATGAAGAATCAATTTTGTTTGTCAAACGTTACTGTTTTTCGCTGAGAGCCGAATATGGCACGAAATAAATTCGCAATCGTCTGCATTTCTGTAAAAATACTTAGACTCGCTCTTTACACTGAGACCTGCCGATAGACATACGCACACACTGAGCATTTATTTAAAAAATATCGGCCTTTCTCGCGGTCTCGCATGCCAGCTAAACGTCCGTTATTTTCATTTGTGTCAGGAGCGGTGAAAGCCGCTAGCAACAGGCCGGAAAACAGTCAGAGAGACTGGCTAGCCGATTCATTTTTGTTTCTAAATCACGTCGTAGCGGCGACGGGCTCACCTCGATGGACCACGGAGGAAACGGGGTCCCTGCAGAGTAGGGATCTCGGGTAACGGAGATGCTTGGAGACGAGACTATGTGGAGAGACTCCGGCGGAAACAGGAACTGAAAGAACCCGGGCTGTACGGAGAACTGCTGCTGCTGCTGCTGCTGGGCTCTTCAGGAGGCTTCGCAGTGCGCATGCGCACATCATATCGCCCTCCTTCTAATGGACTGTATTAAAGCCCGCGGATGTCAGACTTCATCCATTCGTTGTGCTCCCTTGTGCTGCATTCAAATGTAAAAGGCACATTTATGACTAGTTTTTTTCAGAATGATGACAGTTCAGTACAGGAAAAAATAAAATAAATGAACAAATGAATGAACAGAGAATACACTAAAATAATTGGCATTTAAATTAATTTAATTATGTTAACATAAGAAAAGATCCCTTTATACTCTCCCCAACACCACAGTATACGCATAGTAGAAAAAGGAAAACAATGAAACTATAAATGCTGTAGGGGTGATTGATGCTTTTCTAGTAAATAATGATCTCTGAATGAAACAGTCATGAAACCCAGACACTCTCTGAGGAACCATGACTTTTATTTTATGCCAAATAAATGCACTTCACCTGAGATTACCACAGGATTGAGTTGAAGGTGATCTGATTATTGTCACAACAGTCCCACCTAGCGGTACGAGTGGGGAAGCACAAGAACACATGGAAAACAGGGCTTGTATGCTCTTCTGGACTGAAACGTGATCAAAGGTGTCTTTACTATATTACAAGGACATTTTGCCTCTTTTTTCATGTTGAAGATTGTAGTGTTCAAGATGTGCTCACAAACAAATTACAACATAATATTTTTATCTACGTTAAAAGGAATGCAGACTAGACCTAATCATATTACTAATCACATTACACGCCCAATTGCCATATTAAGTGACATTCTCCCTATTTGTTTCGAAGAAATATACAAAAAATGAATCACAACCTTTCCACAAACGGTCAGCTGTCATACTACAACGTTACATTTCACTTCCAACCTAATCCATGGTCACAATTTTGGCTGACATCGATATCAGAACTAAGAAAATATTCAATGTATAAAAAAGACAAGACTAACAAAGAGCGGGTTGGGCTTCAGGCACACGTGAAAAATTCCATAATGGACAAATAGTGCATAATTTACGTGTAGAAGCCAAATTTTTATAACTCATATAGTGCACCATATTTGCAGAAGCGAATCATTTGAGATTAAGCCTAATAAGTAACACGGCTTTCATTGTTACTTAAGTAAATTGGCACGAGACACCTTTTGCTTCTATTTTAACTACATTTCCAAGAGTGAGATTATTTTCGAGTTTCTTTCTTTATTTACTTTTTCTATATTTGCAGCGCTCTTCTACTTCTAATGTCGTTATAAACGTGCGTGTAAAACTCTGTTTTAGCTTCGCATACAAAGACAGCTAGAAAATAAGACCCTCTATGGAAAGAAAACGCGACGTATTGTTGTTTACAGTGATGGTGGACGCCGAGACTGCGCATGCGTTTTGAGCGGTGACACTTCCATAGCAACCAAAGAAGACAACATGGTGAGTAGCTAATCGATCTTCAGTATTTTTCTGTAATACAATGTTAGCTACAATATTACTCAGCACAGTAAAGAGGAAACGACGTCTTGCAAAAAAGGGGGATCGTTTCATTTTATAACGAAACGGCATCCTATAAAATGAATTAGCTTGTTAGTTCACCTAACGTAACTGGTTCGGCCACAGTGAGTTATGGTGCGGCGTGCTAACTACTAGGCTAGCTAGCGTTGGCTGGGTGAGACAGCGTTTGCAATATAAACCGCAAAGCGGAATGATATTAAAGAAACTGATCAGGATTTGGTCCTACAAAAGGTTAAGCGAAAAGAATTGATCTCATATTAACCTTTCATTGAGTATGCATACTGCTAATGAAAATATAATTAGCGGTACTTCTTGTAGGTGATTAAGCAGCTAGCTAAGTCAGGCAAGTTTGCACATGTATTGCTGGTTTTTACAATATAAGTTACAGATTCGCACAAAGGCTGTCTTTATCTCTTTAGGCAAAAGCAACTACTATTAAAGAGGCATTGGCGAAGTGGGTAAGGACTTTTAAACACTGGCTTGTTTGCGGTACAGCATTATCACAGTTAAAGGCAATACAGTTAACTTAATGCAGTTAATCTCAGCATTACCGCAACAGTGATGTTCGTGACCCTGGTTGGTTTTCTTTAGGAGGAAAAATCAGGAGAGAAAGTCGGTGAGGCTAAAGCAGTGAAACTATATGGCCAAATTCCTCCAATTGAAAAGATGGACGCCTCTCTCTCAACCCTTATGAACTGCGAGTGAGTTTTCCTCTCATATTTGACTCTCATTATCCATTTATCATCTTCCTTGTTAGTTAATTGCCACATTTTTATCATGTTTGTTTATGTTTGCTGTCCAGGAAACTGTCGTTGTCAACGAACTGTATTGAAAAAATTGCCAACCTGAACGGGTTAAGTGAGTATACACGGTTTGCACACAATAAATACAAAAACAAATATTTAAAATAATAATAATAATAAAACCTAATAATTATTAGGTGGAAGAAAGATATTATTTTGCCGTTTCTCTTAGAGAATTTGAAGATTTTATCCTTGGGCCGAAACAACATCAAGAACCTTAATGGACTAGTAAGTGAAAATAATACATCACACTTAAAAAGGGTTTTATATGAAAAAAGTTAGTCACCAGGCTGCCTTAAAAATGTAAGTTATTTGAACTTCAAAGTTGACAAAGCAAGAATCTTGTTTTGTTGACTTACCGTTCGAAATTCAGTTAACTCAAAATTTTCAGCCTGGTAACTATTTTTAGCTAAAAACCCAACTTTTACAGTGCAGAATTACATTCATACTAGAGAATGAAGAGAATTCTTTTAATTGTGGTTCAGAGAAACACACTTATCTGGGTTAAAATGGCAAAGTAAATAAAATAAAGTAATAGTAATGGTTTTTCCCTCCAGTGGCTGACTAATGAACTGACAGATGAACATTAGTATCTGTATAAAAGTGTGCCTGTTTACTAGGGGTTAAGAATGAATATTGAGCTGTGTTTTTGTCAGGGAAGGGAAAAATACAGAGAAACTGTACATAAGTGAAAATATGAGTTCAGAAACATACTCAATTACAGTGGAAGTATGGAGCCATGAATATACATGACTGAAAGGAGAAAGCATCAACATTTAAACATACACAAATAATTTGTTTTAATAAATAAATTAAAAGTTTTCTTTTTCTGTGGTCTGTGATATGGCGACTAATTTGCACAAAGACAAATTAGTGTGATTGTAAGCAGTTTCATTTTGCACTGGTTGGAATTTGGTTAGATGTTTTAATAAAAACAATTAATAAAATATGCGGGAGCTCATTTGCAGGAGACAAAGAGAAAAATCTCCTAGTCTTCAAGTACTTTTAAGGTCTAAAGGAACATGTAAGGAGTAAAAAGTATGTAAATGTAATAAAGAGTACAACTATTGCATTCCAGCAGTACTCAAGTAAAGTAGAAATTTTCCAAAATAGTGATTAAGATAGTAAAGAAGCACAGTTACTCAAGTGTTGTCTACCCGTGGTTGTTGTGGCCTGTAGGAGGCAGTAGGGGACACTTTGGAGGAACTCTGGATCTCCTACAATCTCATTGAGAAGCTGAAGGGAATCCATGTCATGAAGAGGCTCCGAGTTCTGTACATGTCCAACAACTTAGTCAAAGAGTGGGGTGAGCATGTAAAAAAAAAACACCCTGAACATTTGATATTGCTTTGTCATAACCATGTCATAATTTTTGTACTTACACATTTTCTGTCTGGTGCCACATTAGGGGAGTTTGTGAAACTGGCAGACCTTCCATCACTGATAGACCTGGTCTTTGTGGGGAATCCTTTAGAAGAGAAGTACTCTGCTGAGGGGACGTGGATAGATGAGGCCACTAAAAGAGTCCCCAATCTAAAGAAACTTGACGGTAAGGAGCAAACATCAAAATTTCCTAATAAACATTTCTGCTTGTTTTGCACTGCTTGTAATATACACAGCTATGAATAAACACATATAGCTACTTAAGGCTGATTTATACTAATGCACTACTTTTTATATACTAATGATACAATTTATACTAGTGATTTATACGAAACGACACGTAAGCATAGCTATGTTGCAATACAGAGAATTTAATGGGTAAGCATAGCTCACAGAGGCTTGCAAAAGCTACTGAATTTACTGAATGTACACCTCAAAAATACTCGAACCGAACCAGAACTAAACAAAATAACAAACTTTTTTTGAAGGGTGCAGGACATTTCCTGTGAAGAGACGCCATACTGAGCGTTATGAGCTTTCCTATTTATTTTTCAACTAGTGAACTGGCTCCTCTTCTTTTATCATTCCTCTGACTGTTGAAAGATCAGCGGGCAGAAGAGCAACCTTACAAACATTTAAATGATCCATCTAATATTAGAACAAGACGAAAAGAAGACTAAGCAAGCCTAGTTTTGCCAGACCACCATAGGCTGCACCAAACAGCATGGGGAGCTCCACCCACTCCACTATTCGGAGCGAGGCTTTCCTCCTGAAAATGTTGACAGATGGTGGTGAAGGACTTTATGGCACGGCTTCAGCTCTCAAAACATTAAAAACTGCGAATAAACGGCACCGATATTTGGGCACTCCCACATAAAGTTTCTAGAGTCCTATATGGACAGGAGGTACAATAGGGGTGAGGACTTAAACTCATTAAGTGTCTCAACCTGGGTGGTAGATAAGATCTGTAGCAGATTTTGGTATGGATGAGGACACAAAGAGATTAAATTTTTGTGTTTCTCCTACTACATGCAAAAGCCTTCTGATATTGTCTGAAGCCAGGTGCCCTTTCATGAACCCAGATTGGTCTGGGTGAATCAAATTACCTATCACTTTCTCCAACCTAAGAACTAAGCATTTATCAGTGAAATAGGATGATATTTAGCATAGTTTAATGAATCCTTGCCTGGTTTTGGTATGACAGAAAGAAGCACAGTATTGAGGTCTCTATGAAGATTCCCTTTTTCAGTAGCAGCATTTAAAGTAATTTGAGCCATATTGACTACATAGATCTGATTGGTTAGTCTGATAGTAAATGCATTCTGCAACACAGAAAATCCACTGGATTCTGTTGAAAGGTTTTACTGCACATAGCAGTCTGTCAGTTTTATACTAGATGTCAAATATGGAATTAATATGCATGTGTACATTTTCAAAACCTGACCATTTTTTCCATCAGTAAAAATCAGTCTCAGTTTTAAACTTACCTCACACCCCTTTGTTTAACATAAGTCAGTGGTTCCCAAACTTTTTCTATAGTCCTGTACCCTTTATTTGACCATTTGTTGCGTACCCCTTCTCGCTTCTCATACATACATGTGCACCTATTGCTATGTTGCATATGTAAGACATTTAGCCTTATAAAATTAGTCCTTCTGAAATTATCATACATATTTATGATGCAAGACATCAGATCAGACATATTTATGATGCAATGGCACTTCACACCAGATACTCAATAATACTGAATAAATAATGTCATTCACAAGTGCAGAATGAACTATATGAGGGTACATTTGCGTGTGTGAGAGGCTGTTAAGTGAACAATGAGTAATAAAATGTTCACTAACGTGCCACAGATCACATTCAGCACAATAACATCACCCGTTTAGTTACCCAACAATTGCCCAAAATAACCCTATAGCCTCTACAACCTTTAATGCTTTAAAATGTAATCTTCACAGTTGTACAAGTTCACAAGTTTACAAGTACAAGTGCACTTTTTAGATGCTTCCTTAAAGAGTAACATGTCGGTTTTGCTCTTCGGGGCTTTTGTTCAGTAGAATTTACCAAAGGATACTTTTAAAACGTAATTGGTTGTACAACCCCGTTTCCAAAAAAGTTGGGACACTGTGTAAAATGTAAATACAAACAGAATGCAGTTGTATGCCAATCATTTAATGAACCCTAATGTTTACATTCAGGTTACATGCAAGTATGTTGGCAGACATCTACACAAACATCAGCGCACAGTGCCCTCACGTGTTCACTAATGCGCAGATGCAGAAGTATAACTCATTCTTTAATCACATGCTTGGATGTGCATTAGCACTTTGATTTCTTTGATGTCCATATGCAGCTCTGGTTTCAGATTTTCACTTTATCTTTAGTAGACAAATCATCAATTAGATTTGTTTTGTATATAATTAGAAACATTTAAAGTATTAAATCTCCATTCAAGAATTGCTGTAGGTGGCAGGCTTTTGTTACTTTGCAGCATTTTTGCAGCAGCAACAAAAAACACTGACCATGGGGTGACAGTGGCACTATTTGTATAATCTGAATATAATCCATCTTGAGAAAGATACTGATTGTATCTTCAATCTTTAGGAAGATTACTGGGAATCATGCTAATCATGCTCTTCTAACTAATGTAATCCTCAGGGACCCCAGTGATTAAGCACGAAGAGGAAGAAAGAGAGGGGGAGAGTTAACAGAGTCTGCTTTAAAATCTTCTCAGTGGTACAATTTTTAAATGACTCCAATGCCAGAATGTTAGCAATTAAAACGGAATTCCACTAGTTTTCCAAAGTTTCTGCATAATTCAGTCATTGAAATGTAAACAAAGTCATTCAGAGTTGTTTGATGTTAAATGCTGTGGTGTATAGAAACCTCCTGGTGCTGATAGGAACCAGAGGTCATGATGTCGACAGTGCAAATATATCCGCTTTATTTGCTATTTACAATGATCAGCGAACCTACATGTGTCTCATGAGTTTTATATGTAATGTTGATAATGGTGAAATACTTTTAAATTTTAAAATCTTTGGGTACTATTTTGCCTTAAAACTACCTGCATATACCTCTCTGTCCTGTATGTGTTTGAGGCCAACGCTTGTTTTAAAAATATTGTAGCACAATGTCTCAGGCAATAGGCAATGCCTAACCATTTCATGTAATAACTTTCTGTAAGGTAGTTTTTTAAAGGTATTCGCTTCAGATGTCTCATTCTTATCACCACAGTTCTGAACAATTCTGACTCTGTAAGTTTGTCTAAAATGGTACATTTCACATAAATCCACTCTTAGTGACTTTTCTTACATGCTGACAATTGAATTGAAACAATTACAAACAATTCAAACAATTGCAAGAACTTTGAAAAAACAGTGAAATTTCTTTTCAATGCAGATTTTTATATGTTGACTTGATGTGTATATATGCTTAAGAGCTAAAGCCACTTTCTTAGATTTTTAACATCTTTTAAATTCGATCTCAAGGAAAAGCACATTGCTGCTGCTTTTAAATAGTTAAGAAGTAAGGTAGTCTTAAAGATTAGCTACTGGACTGGTAACAGAATGATACTGATGCATTGCAGCAGTTTACCAAAAATGCTCTTAAATTTGTGTGTGCGCAATTTATTAAGTATATCCAATGTACTTATGTCCCTTAGGGCATTTCAGTCCTAGATATCAACATCATTTATACTTTCTGGTTACTCAGTATAAAAGGACTCTGACTATGCAAAAAACTTAGTCTGATCCAACAACAATTCTGTTGCCAGGTTTTCTAGTAGTAAATTGCTTATTTATGTCATTGTGTACATTGTGGTGTATTCAAAGCTCTGACTTGTACAAAAGGCACAAATAGAAAAGTTAACTTTATGGCATGTTTCCAGAATAAAGCAGAAGTCAAATATAATAGAAGTAAATAGATGAAGAATCTATATAGTTTTCTTTTTTAATCTGTTTTCAACTATTTTTAAATCTTTTGTAATATAATTTTTAATGTATTTCATTTGTATGCATGTTTTTATAATGTGATATGCAGAAATGTGTGATTGTTAATGTACGTTTTGAGATATCTTATAATGTTGCAATAAACAGAAAAAAAAATGTTTTTGTCTGCATCACTATATGTAACTATCGTGAAGCACTGCCTTGGGGATGGAAGGGGGTGTTTGTGGCATGGGAGTGAACCCTTGTTAGGTTGTAAAAAAACTCGAAATAAAGCAAAATATATATAAAAGATATGTAAAATAAAATACATATAAAGAAATAAATACCTATGGCGCTTGTGTAGAAGAGATTGTCGCTAGTTGCCAAGGAGATAAAGACGCGATCAGGGGAAACAACTGCGTCATGAAGCCGGCGGCAATTCTCATTGGATGGTAGTCGCACATTAACCAGAGTCATGTCATTAACGTCACGCGCCAAACTTGCGAAAAGAAGGAAGTGAACGTTGAGCCACAGAAACACAATATACAGTCTTTATGTTTCACAAAACTGTCATAAAATGCAGCGCGAGAAGAATGTAAAAGTAAGAGAAGTAATCACAACGCTTTGTAAGCTTCTGTCAGCACTGGGTGTTGAAGCGGTACCAACTGCCGAAGCTTTTAGGAGAGCCAAATTCAACAAGACGGATGCGGTTAGTGCCTTCTTTTACTTTCGTTGAAGCACAGCTTCAGCATTAGTAATAACCTGTTTACAGACGAGTTCCTTTTCACCACAGGGAGCGAAATTAAAGTAAAGCGTTTTTAATGACAGGGCTGGCTAAAACAAGTAACGTACACCACATAAATAACATGCAGTACACCACATAAATATTTAAGTGATTGGATGGCAATTCCATTATTTTTTCACATTTCCTTCATAATAGAATGTTTAACATGTACACAGTCACTAAGAGTGCTTTAATGTGAAATGCTTCTTTCTAGGAAAACTTACTAAGTCAGAATTGTAGTTCAGAGTGGTGGTGATAGGAGCGAGACGTTGATACTTTAAATGGGGAACTCCACCGATTTTTCGAAAATTTTACATGATAATTGAGATGTAAACAGAGTCATTCAGTGCGGTTTGTTGTGAAATGTTCCGATGCTAGAGGAACTTACATATGTCCTGAGACATCGTTTGAGACAATGTTTTGGCCATTTGTAAAAATGCATTCATGACAAAGAGGTACATGCAGGACGTCACACGGCAAAATAGTACCCAAAGAAAGATTCACTAGTATTTTGCCATTATCAACATTACAAATAAAAACACAAAAGGCTCATGTAGGTTCACACTCATTATTTCTGATAGTAAATAAAATTGATATATTTGCATTGTGAGCATTACAACCCCTAGTTTCTCTCACAAGTTGGTACATTCCTCTACAAAAAGAAATCATATTAGATCACTCTGAATGACATCACATCTATTTAATTACGCAGAATTTTTTTTAAAAATCTCCGGATTTCCCCTTTAATGGTCATATGTGGCAAAGTAAGGACAAAACTGACTCTTATTGTTTCCCATTATAGACACAAGACATGTGGAAGTTGCTCCATAGTCTCCTAATGAAGGCTTTTGAACGAGACTGTGCCTGCCAGGAGTCACACTCACACTTGGGTATCTGTTTAGCTGTTTTTTTCTTGAAGTATTGGAAAATTCTGCTATTAATGGATAGAGATGGAACATACTTAAGTGACTGTACTTTGTAAGTACACTGTCTGGGGAAATTTCAGTCCCTGAAGGTATGAACAGTGTACGTAAATGTACCCTCATAGGTCTTAAATATGTTTTAAAGGTACACTACAATAACTTTCTAAGGCGCATATTGTACCTTTTTATGACTTTACACAATTAAGTAGAAAAAGGAAAAATCAAGACAGGGTGTTTGGGGTCAATGCAACCTAAAAAAAAAAACACAGTGTGGTACAATGTTCCCTAACTAAAGGTACTTAAAATGTACTCTGAGTGTACCACCACAGTGACAGTGTTTGTACCCTGAAAAGTACAGTTTTTATTGAGTATTATTTATATATAGTAAGTATTATTTTGGAAATGTTTGTTCCTATGGTCAAGTGTTTTATTTTTATTAATGAGAAAAATAACATATTTTACTTTTTTTATCCTTATTTCCATTTGGACCTTTAAAGTATTTACTACACATTTCAAGGACCATGTGATTTTTCTCTTCTTCAAAAAACAAAAAAAACAAACTTGTCAATTATTTGTTTGCCAGTGCATCCCATCAATTTTATATCAATTTAAAATTTAAAACTGCCAATATCTCTGCTAATTTGTTTGAGTGCGAGGACTAGCACTGCTCATTAGGCCCCACATTACACACCACCAAAAACAGAAAACTCTTCCTGACTCTTAATTTTATTTCTTAAAAAAATACAAACCCAGTTCCAAAAATGTTTGTCAAATGTAGAAGGCAGTGTGTGAAATGCTATTAAACTAGAAAGCAGTGATTAGTAAATTCTGTTTGACCTGTATTAAATTCAAAATTGTACAAAAAACACAACATTTTATGTTTTACCTTAGGAGCTTTATTGAATTTTGAAAATATATACTCATTCCAAATTTGATGCCTGCTAAAAATTGGGACAGAGGGATGTTTACCACTGTGTTACATCATCTTGAGTCTGCATGTTCTTCCTGTGTCAGCATGTGTTTCCTCTGGGTGCTCCAATTTCCTCCTACAGTCCAAAGATATGCAGTCATGTGAATGAGAAATGCTAAATGCCCCTAGAGGTGGATGTGTGTGTAAATGTACACCGATCAGGCATAACATTATGACCACCTCCTTGTTTCTACGCTCATTATCCATTTTATCAGCTCCACTTACTGTATAGATGCACTTTGTAGTTCTACAATTACAGACTGTAGTCTATCTGTTTCTCTGCATACTTGGTTAGCCTCCCTTTTACCCTGTTCTTCAGGGGTCAGGACCACCATGGACCCTCACAGAGCAGGTACTATTTGGGTGGTGGATCGTTCTCAGCACTGCAGTAACACTGGTGTTGTAGTGGTGGTGTGTTAGTGTGTTGCGCTGGTCTGAATGGATCAGACCCAGCAGTGCTACTAGAGTTTTTAAACACCTCAGTGTCACTGTTGGACTGAGAGTAGTTCACCAACCAAAAATATCCAGGCAACAGCGTCCTGTGGGCAGCGTCCTGTGACCACTGATGAAGGACTAGAGGATGACCAACACAAACTGTGCAGCAGCAGATGAGCTATCATCTCTGACTTTACATCTACAAGGTGGACTGACAAGGTAGAAGTGTCTAATAGAGTGGACAGTGAGTGGACACAGTGTTTAAAAACTCCAGCAGCACTGCTGTGTCTGATCCACTCGTACCAGCACAACACACACTAAAACACCACCACCACGTCAGTGTTACTGCAGTGCTGAGAATGATTCACTTCCCAATAGTACCTGCTCTGCGAGGGTCCATGGGGCATGGGGGTCCTGACCACTGAAGAACAAGATAAAAGGGGGCTAACAGATATGCAGAGAAACAGATGGACTACAGTCTGTAATTGTAGAACTACAAAGTGCACATATATAGTAAGTGGAGCTGATAAAATGGACAATGAGCATAGAAACAAGGAGGTGGTCATAATTTTATGCCTGATCGGTGTAAATGTCTGTGTGTTTGCCCTGTGATGGACTGGTGGCCTGTCCAGGGTGTTTCCTGCCTTCCGCCCACTGACTGCTGGGATAGGCTCCAGCATCCCCTCGCAACCCAGGAAAAAAAGTGGCTTAAATAATGTGTGTGTGTGTGTGTGTGTGTGTGTGTGTGTATATATATATATATATATATATATATATATATATATATATACATACACATTGTAACATGACTAGCAACATCTAGAACTGGCATGTTATTCATGACAAGGGGTTGAAAAAAATACGATTATGAATAACATGCCAGTTCTAGATGTTGCTAGTCATGTTACAATGTTCACCCGATTAAACGGTTTCGTCTTGTTTTCTGTCCCGTGGCGGATGATTAAATGCTCACAGACTTACAATTGGGGTTTGTAAGGAGTGCACTGTGGTACACTGGTTACGGCAGCTGGTGGACGATCAATGCCCAGTCCTGTAGAAGCGCAGATGAGATCGGGAGCAGAGACCTGCTGTTGGCTCTGGGCTGGGTCATTTCCTCAGAAAACCTGCTGGAGTCCCTGCTTGGAGAGAAAGTTCTAGAATTAGAGCAGCTCTCGGCTGCACCGAGGGTAAGACATTTAGTTAAGTCAACATACATATAGAAGTGTATATAACTCTATAAGAATCTATTAGACTCTTTTTAAGCAATACTTTATCCAAAAATTACCAATATGGTCAGCAGTTAATGGAGGCTAAGAAGGACCAGTATGCAGACCTGCCAATCTTTACGTATTTTGCGTAGCAGGTGCATTTTGACATCAAAGTACGTTGTGTCGATTTGTCACTCTACGCAAAAAGCTGGTGTGCAGTACTCAGATCTAACAGTAAGAGGCAGCCCCTTGAAAAGGAGTTCATCCTATCATAGCGCTGGTTTTTGTCCCACTTGGTCGCTCTCCTCACTCCGTCTAGCTAGGAGGACGGTGCTCTTTTGCAAAGGTAAACGGACTTGGGCGAATGTGGAAAGTTGAAATTGTGAACTGGGCTAACGCAGACCTGCCAACCTCGTGAACATATCGTTAATAACGTTAGCCCAACGTTACGTAATTTGCAAACTGGCTTGCTTTTTCATCAGCCATTTAAGTTGGCAAAGTAACGTTAAGTTATATTTAAGTTATTGTCCGGCTGTTGCAGATCATTGAGGATGAAAAGAAGCGAGTGCACGTGTCGCAGAAATAACATTACCTAGAAGGTTACCGGTAGGTAGGTAGGTAGGTAGGTAGGTGTGTGTGTGTGCGTGTGCGTGTGTGCGCGTGCGCGCGTGCGCACGTGCGCCTGTTTAAATAAACCTGACGTCAGATGAGGAGGACACTGACAGAGACAGGGGCAGACCCCGTTGAATGACGAAACTTGTGTTTTATGGCGGCGAGTGGAAAAACTGACGTTTGTTAAGCGTTTTTCTAGCGTTATATTTTTTTATAAATATTTTCCCAAGGTTGGCAGGTCTGTGTATGTTTTATAGGAATAATTCTAACAGTCTTTCTTTGTTGTTTGTGTTAGCATTACTGGATGAAATATTCTGAATAATAAGGAATGATGTAGCTTACCAGGCTTGATAAAAATGAAGGTTTAGGGAACACAGCCCTGTTAATCAAGACATTTTCCTTCCGTGCATGTGCCGCACATTGTGAAGTTTTAGATGGTATGATGACCAGATTCTGGGCTACCTCTGATCTGAGCTAAACAACAACTGGAAACTGTTTTTTTTTTACATGTTTATAGCCACCAAAAAAAACACATTATTTGTCAGCAGATCGTTGGGGCATTGGTTTTTTTTCATGTGTAATTAAAACAAATCATGACATTCGCAGATGTAAAACTTGATGTTAATTCAATGTGTAGAAGAGCATGAATCCAGCAGATGGCAGTATAACACTACAGTTTTGGCCCTGACAATTGATCTTGTACTTAGTTAATATATAGTCAGTATATAAAAATGAATTAGTTCACAATGAAAACACGTGGTTAGCTTGTTTGTTTTTTGTAGGATCAGAGGTGTATCAGGAGGACATATTTCTACTCGTGTATATGTGTGTTTGATCCAACAGGTTGTGCCTAGTGTGGAGGATTTGACACTGTGTTTAAGTGGATCTGGAGTGGATGGAGCAGGGAGAGGAGATGTTAGGAACATGCAGTGGCAGTACGGGAAATTAAGGCTGCAGTGGAGGAATCATCTAGCAGCCCAGCAAGAGCAGGCCAAGTTTACCCACAAGGCAAGTGGTCATGCGATGATGTCATACTGAGTTGTCCGTTTATCGGGTATATCTACCGTACACAAACCCATTTCCAAAACAGTTGGGACGGTGTGCAGAATCTTGTAAACCATATTTTTAAAGGGAAATCCTACAAAGACAACATATCAAATGTTAAAATTGAGAAATGTAATTGTTTTTTGGAAAATATATGCCCATTTTGAATTTGATGCCAACAACACATTCCAAAAAAGTTGGGACAGGGGCATGTTTACTACCAGTTGCTGTAGTTTTGAGAGTAGTATGTTTTTCCATTCTTACTTGATATAGGATTTTCGCTGCTGAACGGTTTGGGTTCTCTTTTGTTGTATTTTTCATTTCATAATGCGCCAGCTTTGGTGGTGAAAGGTCTGGACTGCAGGTAGGTCAGTTTGGCACCCGGACTCTTTTAATGCAAAGCAATGCTGTTGTAATACATGCAGAGTGTGGTTTGGCGTTGTCTTGCTGAAATAAGCAAGGCCTTCCCTGAAAAAAGACATCATCTGGATGGCAGCATATGTTGCCAAAACCTGTATATACCGTTCAGCATTAATGGTGCCTTTACAGATGTGCCAGTTACCCATGCCATGTGCACTAATGCCCCCCATACCATCATGAATACTGACTTTTGAACTGTACGCTGAAAACAAGCTGAGTGACCGTTAACCCGGAGGACGCAGTGTCCATGATTTCCAAAAAAAATTCAAATGTTGATTCGTTGGACCACAGGATGCTTTTCCACTTGAGTCCATTTTAAATGAGCTCAGGCCCAGAGAAGGTGGCAGCATTTCTGGATCTTTATTCTTTATTTAATTTATTTATTCTTTGGGTTTTAGAGTATTAACTTGCATTTGTGGATGCAGTGGTTTTCAGAAGTGTTCCTGAGCCCGTGCAGTGATTTCCACTGCAGAATCATGTCTGTTTTTAATTCAGTTCTGCCTGAGGGCCCAAAGATCATGGCCAGCCAAAATTAGTTTTTGGCCTTGTCTCTTGCATACAGTGATTTCTCCAGATTCTCTGAATCTTTTAATGTTACTATGTACCGTAGATGATGAAAAGCAAAATTTCTTTGCTATTTTACATTGAGAAATGTTATTCTTGAATTGTTGCTCGTACAGTCTTTCGCAGAGGGGTGAACCCCTCCTCATCTTTACTCAGCCTCTGTGGGATGCTTTGTAATACACAATCATGTTACTGACCTGTTGCCAACTGACCACCAAGTGTTTTTTTTTTTTGAGCATTGCACAACTTTACCAGCCTTTTGTTGCCCCCGTCCCAACTTTTTTGGAGCGTGTTGTTGGCATCAAATTCAAAATAGGCATATATTTTTCAAAAAACAATAAAATTTCTCAATTTGAACATTTGATATGTTGTCTTTGTACTGTTTTCAGTAAAATATAGTTAAATGATTTTGTACATCATTGCATTTTGTTTTCATTTACATTTTGCACAGCGTCCCAACTTTTTTGGAAATGGGGTTGTACATTACTGTGGAAAAGTCAGTGACCACTCTTTCAGTTATTTAGTTTCCAGTCAAAACTTACCTCAAGTACAAATTCTTTATTTTTCAAAGTCAGAAATAAGCAGGAAACATATATTAGTCATTTATCAATAAATTACACAAAACTTTCCAACATTAAGTATATTATCTTTCAGTATTTCATTTGTCTACTCTTTACTCTTTCTCATACCCTTTCAAGAGACACTAACATTCACACAAGCAACCACCCAAGCACACCTTAGCTGCATTGCAAGTTTCTTTCTTGTGGCTAAAGGAGATATTTTTAAGATTGGATATAACAGTTCAGTTGCTGATGGAAAGATTAAGTAAAAGAAAAACAGGCATTTTCAAACCTGGAGTTCAAAAAAATATTAAAACATACCAAAAATTAGACTACTAACAACCATGAAAAACTTGTTAGACCACCACAACTGTGAGCATCAGATAAAGAGTATGTAAAGATTTTATCTTTGGTAGATCAAACTCCACTTGCTTTAAGTCCACAGGTGTTTCTGTCCATCCTTTCACTGTGAGATGACAACTCACCACTATGGGTCTGATAGAATGTGTAGCTGTCAAGGAGCCATTATTGAGATATGAAAATTTGCACTCGAACATTGAAACTGGGATTTGAGATATAGAGTAGGGTTTCATAGTGGAGGATCAGTACACGTTTGGGGATGCGTAACATCTGGAGTGGCATGGTCGTATGTTTGGCACTGGTATGAGTGTGCAAGTTCTTTGTTGGTTTTTTGTTTGTTTGTTTGTTTGTTTACACGTTGCTTCAGAATACTCCATGGGTTCAGAATAATCTGCAAACTAAACTGTCTAGCCGGCAGTGTTCATGTGGTCAGAAACTGAGAGTAGGTGTTTCTAATATAGAGGTCAGTAAGTATGTTTACAGAGTTTAAAAACATCAGCTTGAAACACATCAGCGTTGCATGCCATGTTTGTCACCCCTGGGCTGAGAATGATCCACAAGTAATATTAGAGGTGGGCAATATGGCAAAAATCTATAAAAATATCGTGATACTTCAAGAAATTTTCACAAACCACAGTATGTCACAGTACTTAATTTTTCAGATATTTGATCAGTTGAAACTGAGAAAAAAGAACCAATAGTGCTACATAAAAAAAATACTATCAAAACCTCTGAATACAATGATTTTTATTCAGTATTTGGTAAAATGTGCTGCACTTTGTCCAGTTAAATGGGACTAATTTTGCTGTCTTTATAATGAAACATGCTAGCACTGATGATAAACACAATATGCCCAGCAAAGCATATTGTATTGCATTGTGACATAATTTATCACAGTAACGATACATATTATCCAGCCCTAAATAATATCTGGTTAGTTTTGGTCCTATCGTGCTCGCTTTCCATTGACAGAGCATGGTTGATGAACTTTGCAGCACCAGATGGGCTACAGGCAGTAACTGTGTGCCTAAGGGGAGAAAAAACACTCTTCAGCAAACATTAATGTACAGCTCTAGGCTTACATTTTAGATGACAACACTGGTATAACAGCACACTTAGGAGCACATTTTAAATAATGTTTTATTATTCAAAAATAGCCACAATATTGTTAGGTTTTCATGTTGGATGTGTAGAGGAGGCTACGTCTTCAGAGGAACTAATGAGTTAGCTAAGCTACTCGGTACAATGCTGGGTGATGATGAGGACTCTACGGCTATGTTCAGACTGCAGACCAATCAGATTTTTTTTCCACATCAGATCATTTGAGATGACTGTCCGCACTGTTATTTTTAAGTGAAGAGATTGGATTTGTGTGTCCAGACATGACCAACCTATCTTCGTGGGTTGCCATGGTAATGATGTAGGCATCAGTAACTGGAGATGAAGTGCAGGAGAGATGAAAGTGTATCATCTTACCCTCCAAACTCTTAAAAATTCTCTGGCATAAGTATGAATCCAAGCACTTCTGTCACTCTGGATTTGACATTGTTGTTGTTTTTCGTGTTGCGAGTGACGCTGAAGACACTTTGAAATCCGATTGAGCAGACAGCGCATCCAGACTGAGACGCATCTGTAAAAATCTGATTGGAATTGCATTTCAACCCACCTCCAAATGTGGTTTGGATCCAAGTCATCCAAATCAGATTTCATGTGTTTTTTTGCTGTCCAGACTATTAAAAATCAATCTGAATACAATCTGGACATACAAATTAGTTGGTAGTACATAGCCATTATCTACTTGGAGATGGACTGTTTTGGACCTAACTAATCTTGGCTTAGAGGAATTTAGTTAACATTTGCCTAGTTTGCAAAAAGCTGCACCATACCTGTCTGCACTTTCTTTGCCTTTTCAGTCATGTCTTCAACAACATGTCCTTGGTAATGGGCTCATGTTAAGGCACTTCCCTGTCCTAATACAGAATTTTTCAACCACTGGGCCACGAAACAGTCTTTGGTGGTCCTCGGGCCAGTACTGGGGCAGTGGTCTGTAGTGGGCCGATGATGGCACTTTGTCATAAACATCGGTAAAAAAACAATTGGCTTGACAATGAAACAGAAATATAACGTGATTCAAATGGTAAATATTGATATTAATTAATAATAAGTCCTGCAAGAAAGGCAGCAATGTCAGGCATTTAGTTCTCTTGCATCAAGAAACAAAATACACTCCCCCAATGTTTCAGCTGTCCACTCTGGTGTAAAAAGCTGTTGCAGAAACATTCTGCTTCATTTGCCATCATTCTGCCTGATTTCTGGTATGAAACAAGTTTATGTTTGCCTAATCTGTTGATATTTTCACTGATACACATTACATATTGCAGGGTAGGCACCCAAACCTGCCTGTGTTGAAAATTTCCCAAAAATGAATTTTTAAGTGAAAAGAGTTTAGTTTTGTTTTCTTGTGGGTCATCATGCTTTCTGGTGATACATAGGACGGCCTTGACGTGGAAAAGGTGAAGAACCCTTGTCCAAATATACGTAAATACGAGTGAACTCGCTGTATTTTGCAGTCCTGTTAAAATGTAAAGTGTGAAAGAATTACACATCCTCAAAAACACAAGACACAAGAAAACCCTTCTGCACATTTTAATGCACATCTGTTTATTTACTGAGTTTAACATACTGAGGGGAAAAATAAAACATAAAACGTGGCCTGTGCAAAAGTTATAACGCACTTTATATTTTATGTTTTATTTTTTCCACTATGTTACACTCAAATAAATAGAAATTGTGGACTAAAATTTGCCAGAACAAAGTCAAGAAAGTCAACAAAACATGTAATTTGGCCAGGTATGTTCAGACTTGTGCATATGGCTATATGTGGGGAGACCATCATCAGAAGAAAACACTTGTCGTTTTGTTTGTTTCTGCAGGTCTTCTCCAACATCAGCTCATCCCCCATCTCTGAGGCCAGCACTACTAGTGTTCCTAAATGTACAGCATCCTCTGGACTTGAGAAGGTGACATGTGACAGTATTAGCTGAAATATTTCTAACCGTATTTCTGCTAATAGGGAAGGATACTTAGTATGTTAGATGAATTTCAATCAGCGTTACAGTAGAAGAGATACAGCAGTCATTTTCAAATATAGCATGTGGGTGTGCATATCATTAGCTGTCATTAGGCAAAAAAAAGATGAGTAACACCTAATTGTGGCAGCGTATGCATTGGTCGCATTGCTCTGCTTCTTAAATGCCTGTCTTAACAGCAGCTGTCAAACACCAGGATTTTTCTGGAAGTGTGTCAGAGAGAGAGAGAGCCGTACTTCATGCTCTCTCTGTCTCTTCCATTGTTTCTGACTGATAGGCTGACAGGCCAGGAAATCCTGGATGTTTGAATGCGGAAAGATCTTGATCTTGAAGTCCCACGTACCTTCCCCTATCCTCTTTGCATCTCTCTCCTCTGCTGCCTGTTCTGAAGGCGGTTTTTAAAAGTGCTTCTCTACCAAGAAAGCTCTTTTTTCATGACTCTGAAGAGGAGAGAGAGAGAGAGCTGTTTCAGATTGTTTATGCTGTTTGTGTGAGTGGGGAAAAAGAGAAATGGGGCAGGAACAAGTATAACAAAAAGAAAGAAACAGCAAGAAGTGGTATTTGAGAGATGCCATCTCCTGCCCTGTATTTTGCAATTGGTGATAGTGATTTTTTTTTTTTTAAACATCCAAGAATCTTAGTATTGACACAAGATCTCCTCTACCTGTTAGGGCTGCTTTATATGGAAATTATAAATACTACATATTGCGATATATACCATTGTGCAAACATTTTAGGCACCTGCAGAAATGATTTAAAAAGCTGTTTAGTTGAGCACTAAGCATTTATTAACATTAATATTAGAAGAAATACAAATAACATTAATATGATTGAAAGTTTGAACATGTGGGGAGATAGTGCTTAGTGATATATGTGGTCTCTTCCAGTGTACAGTCATATGCAAACATTGGGGTGCCCTGGTAAAATTAAATAATGTGATGATTTTCTGAGTAAAAAGTATATACCCATCCTCTATAGAAAACACACTTCTAAACACAACTCCAGAATATGTCATTTGCTGGGTGATTTGGATTGTTTTGAAAGGACATTTCACAATGTTCAAACTAAACAAATTGTAAGGTTCTTTTCTTGACATCAGAAATTTAGAATTGGATTGTTTTCTCTCTGGTTAATGTTTACAATACCGTGTAAGGTTTCTTTCTGTCTCATTACAAGAGAAGCAGACAGAGATCAATCAGACGTTTTATCATATTTAGCAGCACTTAGGAAGCATATCTTTATTAATGCAAACTTAAATACTATCTGATACCATGATGGTATGATGTATTTGGAAAATGGCGTTATATAGTATTTTGTCAAATACCACCCAGCTTTGGATGATATCATCCTCTAGAACAGCAATGCGGACTGCTTTAGACAAAAAGCTCTGACTGGAGGGCAGTGTTTTTTTTTTTGTTTTTTTTTTGTTTTGTTTTGTTTTTTTTTAGTTATTTATTTTTTTGTTCAAAACGGTCATTATAGGTAGCGCACTGGGGCCGTAGTGTGGCATGATTGGACCCCTTATATTGCTAGTTAAGCAATTTTTTGCTTGAGACTCGTAGTACCTGTGTCAACTTTACAACCATTAGCCTACATTAGAGCTCCAACGTGGTTGAGGCATAGCAGTAGTAACATATTTTTTTTATCAATTCAAGGTATTTTTTTGTTTTGCACTGAGGCTCATAAGATTTTTAATGAGTTTTTCAAGTTATAATGCATTTGTTTTCAGTGTTTGTAATCTGCTATTTTGTTGGTTGCATTTTAGGATCTGGAGCGCATACAGTCCTTGAATGAAATACTTGAGGCGTATCTGGAATGGAAAGTTGTGGAACCGCTATTTTGGTGCTGGATGGTATGCAGTTCTTGTTGTTCTTGTTTTTGGTAAATATACACTCCTTTCAAATTTGATGCCTAATTTTGTTATACGAGTCTTCGGCTGTGCAACAATACAGGTCCTTCATTGTTGTGTGTTCTAAATGTTAACAGTCTAGATGTTTCCACTGTGCATCAGCACATTTTAGATAAGCTTTAGCCTAGAGAAGTCAGCAGCGTGTCTGGAAGCCATTGACATTTGGCTTGCGGTGTGCATAGTACAGTCTTAACTTGCACATTGTTGATGCAGTGATGGACGTTTTTTTCCTGAACCCATGTGGTGATATCCATCACAAAAGAATGCTGTTAATGCAGTGCAGTCTGAGGGGTCAAAGATCATGGGCATCCGGTTGTGCTTTTTGGCCTTGTTCTTTACACATATTTCTCACAAGATTTCTCCAAATTCTCTGAATGTTTTGATTATATTAAGCACTATAGCAAGTAAAGTACCTAAAATCTTTCCAGTCTCTTGCTGAGGAATGTTATACTTCAACTGTTGGATTTTTTTTTACTGATGCAGTTTTGGCAAATTGGTGAGCCTTGACCTATCCTCGCTCATAAAGGACTCACCCTTTCCTAGATGCTCTTTTTATTCCCAAGCATGATTACATCACCTGCATCAGATGTTTTATGAACATTTCACAGCGTTCTTGGTCATGCATGGTCCCTGTCCCAACTTTTTGGAACCTGTTGCAGATATCAATTTCAGAATGAGCATATGTTCACCAAAAAAGTTTTGAAAAAATTTTAAAAGGTAAAACATCAAATATTTTGTCTTTTTACTGTTTGTTCAAATTCTGGTCAAAGTAGATTTTTTTTATTACAGCTTTCTGTTTTTATTTGCATTTTACCTACTGTCCCAACTTTTTTGGAACTGGGTTTTGTAGTCTAAATTTCTAATTGGGATTACATGGATCATGAGCAGCATATAGTGCAACATCTGAATTTTGGAGGTGTGGAAAAATATCCCTGCAGATTTCTGTTTGTTAAAGTCTCCCAGAAAATATGAAAGCTGTAATATAGATAAAGTGTGGAAACACCGAATACTGAAAAAAAAGATGGAAATAGAGTATTTCTGTGTGTTTTTCAACTTGTTATATTTATCCCATATCTTTTATCCTCAATGAAAAGACTAATTAATTAATTAAGACTGATTAAAGAGTGCACTTATTCTACAGTTTGTAAAATTTTCAGGCTTTGTGCCCACATGATTAAATGCAGATCAGTGCTATATGCTAATATAGTAGAGAAAGGCATTAACTTGGGTCCATATTGGGGTGTGAGGCTTTTTATACTGCTCCTATCCTGGCTGTGTCAGTCCAAACCCCACAAACTCAGCCGTGGTAATTATTGCAGTGTAGCATCAGTCTGAGACCACAAGCTGCTCACTCAAGTTGGCTCACACCCAGATTGCCCCAAAGTTATAAAGAAGTCTTCTCCTAGGAGGAGCAGATCCAGAGCTCTTGGCAGGAGTTTCATATTTCCCTTTAAGCATGCAGATTAAAGTGAAAAGAAGATGGGAGGAGTGCGATGTTTGAGATGGTAGTCATTGAGAAGCCTCCAGGAGTCCTTTGAGGTAGTGAAATGGAGGAAAACCCCATGTTCCTTGCATCTGGTAGGTGGCAGAGTTAAAACAAAAAAAGATTACTGTTCCAGTTACCTTTCATTTTCAATTGAGGTCATTGGGAGTTGTGTTGTCCACAATCCAGGCTCATTACAAAGGAAAAGTTCTGGCCACGTCTTCTAACAAATGTTTGTACTGAGACTGCACTGCAAAAACCTCTAAGGCTGAGATTTACTTGGAAGGGAGCAAATGATAAAGAGGATGTCACGCCTCAGTAATTTAGTTTCAAAGGCCTTTATGAGGAATTGAAATTGAATTCTATCCAGCCTTTAAAATGCAGATGAGTTCTCCATACTACAACCCAAGAGGAAGGAAATGGAAGTCAAATAGCAGGCCCACCGCATCAATAGGAAATCTATAGCCCTTAATGAAAGCAAAATATTTTAAGCATAGAATGCTGTTTATACAGGATTTTCTTGCCGCTGTATACACAAGACAGATGGGGGCTGCTTGTTCTCCATGCCAACTGGCCAAGCCTCTCATGAGAAGGACAAAGTCAGAGACATTGATTTTACTTGCCCTGTACACAGCAAGGCACCCCCCTAACCCCATGTAGTATTATAGCCTTAGCAGATTGATATCCATTGTAAAAGCTTTGTAACATTGTATGCAAGCATTTACGATTTGAGCTCTAGGAATACACAGTTTTTATAAAGGCTGGGACTAAGTGAGAAGTGAATAAAATAATTTTGGAAATTATATTCACTGAATGCATATTCAATACAGTACTTTTTTTTGTTTTGAAAAACTTCACCCAGAGTTTGACAAAAAGGAAACAGATTGATAGAGAGATAGACAGACAAACAGACAGACAGAAATATGAGATAAATCACTTTCACCAGTCCAGTTCTCTAAACTAGAAAAAGGGTAATATAGACAGATCAGCAACTTTTGTAGAAGTTACAGGCTGGTCAGGATGAGCGCTAATGTGCTAATGACGCAAGAGTCGTTATTCAGAAACACCTTCCCTGGTGTTTTATGCAAAACGAAAAAAAAAAATCAATAGACATGTCACCAAAATAATTTATAGTAAATATAAATATAAATTTGGTCCTTTTTAGAACCAAAAAAGAAAAAAAATCCTTATGTCACAGCACTCAAAAAACATTTAAAATAAAAGCCAAAGAAACATTTGCCTTACATACAGTTTTAAAATGTCACAGAATGCTCTCAATTGTAGCATAAGTGTGTATACGACAATGAAGGTCAGTTTGTTTACACCAGAGAGCATATATATTTAATGGAAAGGTAAGAGTTTCTGAGTGGCTGAGGTGTATACCAAACTGTAAAAAAGGGGGTTTCTTTCAGAATGTCAATCAAGTTGGTCAGGTTAGATTGTGCTTTCTTAGGTTACCCCTACTGTACTGCTTTGGATGAGCACCATCTATGCATCTAGACATGAATGAATAAAATACAGCATTTGACAGAAGGTGATAGGAAGAAACAGAATTAAACAAAATATCTTCTGTTTAGAAATGTTTTCTGTTCAGATATGTTTAATATTTCCTAAAGATAAATAACTTCTACATAATGGCAGTTTTGACTGGAAAATTAATAAATGAATAGTGCTCTTTGTAATGGACTTTTGCACAGTAAGATATTCATTTATTTTAATTTTAATTCAAAGAGCATCTTGCCAAAGATGTTAGTTACTTGAATTAATACAGCAGTTATTCAATTCAATACAGCATGCTATTTAGTACAGACAAGACCTCTTATACCATGCACTGATCCCTGCACAGGACAGCGTGATTGATGGCTACCTCTCAGACGACTGCATCGTGGGGTTAGCGTTCAGTGACCACTCTGTCACTCAGAGCTGTTCCCACGACGACAAGGCCAGGAGATCCATGAGACATCTAGACAAGGTGCTGCTGAGGCTACAGACAGAGCTCCAGCTCAGCCGAGTAGAAAAGACCACACACCCACTTACACAGGTAATGAGGCAACCGTCTAAGCGTTGGCCCTATCATCAAGAGAGCGCAAGTTCGATCCCCAGTGATGCTACAGCCACTTGTGTCCAGGAGTCCAGTAGAGCACAACTGGTCTCGCTCTCCCTGGGTGGGTAGGATGGCCTTCCCTCTCCCACAACACTCATTGCAGTGTTAGACAGCACAGGTGTATGTTAACTGACATAACAGAACTGGCAGCTAGCAAGCTCCTCCAAGCACGTTCACCTGTCCAATGATGCTGCAGTAGAGGCATTTTGAAAATTCCATGAAAACTTAACCCATCCAAATAGTACTTATGAGGACTGTATTACTGGTGCAGGCCTACACGTAATATTAAAAAACCTGCATTTTTTTCTTAAGTGCCACTTAAAATACAAATAAATCTTTTTTAAATGACCATTTTCCAACTTCTCTTTATCCCTGCGAATTAAACTAGCTGTTTTTTCATACTGTGTCTTTAAGACTGTCAATTGTTAAAGAAAAAATAGCATCTCCAGAATAGTAACTTCGAAGGAGAAGGCAAGAAAACATTCTTCACTTTTAATGTAAGTTAATGTAAAGAGCTTTTATTCCAGAGAAATTAGGAGCATTTTCATTGGTCCATTCACCCATTTTTACAAAATGTAAAGGGCAGCAGCTCAGGTCAAATGATGTAGAAAAATAAACATTGAAAAAATACTTGATACTTGTTTGATGGTGTTTTTTTTTTTTTTCTTTTTGGACAGCAACGATGTGTAAATTGTCTGTTCTTATTTGCTGTCCTGCATTGTGCATCATTTAAAAAGCAGTCCAAGCTGAAACACTCCTTATAGCTTAATTGTGAATTTTGACATCATGTATTCATATATGGATTGGGGAGTGAATGGCATGTTTTGAAATGTTAACAATGTTTACATACTACATAAAGCTCTTTTATTTCAAAAATAGCAAGAGAAATTCAGTTTTCAATTGATGTGGACCCTTTGAGACACAAACAGCTTAGACACTGAGACAGAAAGATTTGTAGCATGCAGACAACAGATATGATGCTAAACAGCAGAAGCTTGCCATATTCTTCAGTGTTTAGTTCTCAGTTTTTAGCTCTGAGACATACAGTGCTGTGAAAAAGTATTTGCCCCTACTATTTTGGTTCATTTGTCATATTTAAATGTTTCCGTTCATCCAGCTAATTTTAATATAAGATAAAGACAACACAAGTAAACGCAAAATGCAGCTTTTAAACGATCATTCCATTTATTGAAGATAAAGATTTATTTCAAAACCTGTATCACCCATTTGAAAAAGTAATTGCCCCCCCAAAACCTATAAACTGGTTGTGTAACCGCTGGCAGTAACAACTGGAACCAAACGTTAACAGTGGGTTGTGATTAGTCTTTTACGTTGCTGTGGAGGAATAATAATTTAATTTAATTTGGCTACATTGGAGGATTTTTAAGCATGAACTTCTCGTTTGAGCTCTTGCCACAGCATCTCAATGTCTCAATGGGATTCAAGTCAGGACTTGGTCATTCCAAAATCCAAAAAGGCCTGCAGTTCTTTAGTTCGTCCAGGTTCTTTTGTGACCTCCTGGGTGAGTCGCTGGATGTGATGCACTCTTGGTGAAATTTTGGTAGGTCAGCCACTCCTGGGAAGGTTCATCATTGTTCCAAGTTTTCTCCATTTGTGGATAATGGCTCTCACTATGATTTACTGGTTCCCAGAGCCTTAGCAATGGCTTTATAACCCTTTCCAGACTGGTAGATTTTAATGACTTTGTTTCGCGTCTGTATTTGAATCTTTTTAGAACGTGAAATCATGTGCTGCTTTTTAAGACCTTCTAGCCTGCTTCACGTTGCCAGACAGGTTCTATTCAAGTGATGCTTAGATTCAACAGGTCTGACAGTAATCATGCCTGGGTGTGGCTAGTAAAATTGAACCCAATAGTCAATACAATTTGGTTAACTCGTTGATTTTGTAGCTAAGGGGGCAATACTTTTTCACACAGGGCCAGGTAGGGCTGAATAGCATTTTTACTTCAATAAATGAAATCATTTAAAATGGCTTTTTGTGTTTACTTGGGTGATCTTTGTCTGATAGTAAGTTGTTTGATGATCTTATAAAAAATGCAAGAAATTGGGAAGGGGGCAAATACTTTTTCACAGCACTGTATTTGGCACAGTCAGTTTAATTTGGGATAAAGCCTTCAGTAAATCTCACATTACAATACAACACTCCGACACTTTTCTTCCATTTTTATGTTTACATTATATCATGCCATCTCTCTCTCTCTTTCTGTCTCTCTCACCTTGTTCCTGTTGTCTCTCTTTTCTTTTCCTCTTTATCTCTTCCCCTTGTCTAGCTTTCAAGACTAATCACTTGTAACAATCTTTTTCTTTCCTCAAGCACCCTACAAACTGTTCTTTTTTCCCCCTCACAATCAGAACAAGGAGATTGTTCTTTGCATGTGAAATTATGCTTCATTATGTTTTATTACCTGTGTGCTCAGAGACTCTTCAAACAGACTTCCCCGGTCTTTAATATCATCTGTGATAATGGAGGAGGATTAGAGCTGATGAAGTATCATGAAAAAAAACTAGGTCATCTCATCTTCACGTGGCTTTATTGCTTGAATAAATTCTTTTACTAATGTAACATTCCGTTGTGGTCTAGTGTGGAGTTTGAGGGTGTAATTAGTTGGACTGTGTGTCATGGAGACGCACACGCTCACACTTTCTTTTCTGTGGTGGTTAATGACATGCTGATAGAGTTCACAATACAGTTCACACTACATGTGTCCTCTGCTTCTCTCTAGGACAGACACACAGGTGCAACCTGGGTCAACCAGGAACAGAAAGAGAAGGTGGAGAGAAGAGTGGCTGCCCGCTTGCAAGGCTTATATCTTGCTAACACCCCTACAGCCATGAACAGAGGCTTCATGCCATACTTCCAGGAGCCGCAGGCCTCCAGGTCACCTCGCAAGCCCCAGAAAGGTGACCTGAGCCAGGAAATGGCTTCAAGAAAGCTCCAAGCTTCATCAGCTATAAGAGTTTTGAAGGAGAGGGAGGCGGTGCTGCTTTGGGAACTGGAGCTAATCAGGCAGAGTCATAGAGAGCAAATACAGGCACAGGCCAGTACACTGGAGGGACTGGTGCTTATCCCACCAATCAAGAGATGACACATATAGAAACATGCACTGTAGAGCACTGCAGTATTTCACAGTACAATCTTCACATTAAGAGCTGTGATGGATTCTCTGAGGACATCTGCAGGGGTGTAAAATGAACTTAGTAACAAAGAAAAACTTCAGAGAAGTTGTAAGTACTTCAAAGGGAAACAAGTAGACAGTGAAATTTGTGTTCTAATTCTTTGCCTTTTCAGGAATGATGATGTGCTGTCTATGCATTTCTGTTGGTGTGTCTATGAGTATTACAATAAGAATGTTTATGGAAAAAAAAGAAAGAAAATTTGCTTAATTTTTCTTTTTGTCATCTACTGAACCAGGGGTCGGCAACATGTGGCTCCAGAATGGCATGCAGCACTGCCCTGTTGCGGCTCCACAGCAGAATTAGATTTTTTAGATGAAAATAAAATAATCCTCCTTTGCATTAAAATAAAGCTCTGTTGATCATTTTAACAGTTTTAACACTAAATGGTCTTAAACGCTGGAGTAAATGTAGCCTGTATCTGCTAATTCACCAACCTTTAACCCTGAAGATTGGCATGCAGACTGCTGGGCACATAGCAACGCATACAGTCTTGCCTAGCTAGTAGCTAACGAAAAGACAAAGGGAGATTTGAGACAAACATTGATAATTCAGAGACGAACTGACAGACTTATTTACATTTATAAGCACTCAGCTGCTTTCCTAATATGTTTAATCAGCAGCGAGAAACTGTTAAACACTAAAATGTCACGAAGCTGAAGTCAGCTTCTCACTCTAATTTTCCAGTTCCAGGCACCATTTAAGGTGGACCGGGAAAATTAGAACAAGAATCAGGCGAATGAGAAGCTAAAAAATGGAACATTGAGAGACATTTTACAAGAAACCATTTTACTTTAGCTGAAAAGTTTCCTGCTGGAGATGCGAGAAAAGCGGCTATAGCTGAGCTAAAGCTTAAAGCAGAGCAAAGTAAGTCTGCATTTTCATTTAGATTATTTTTTAGCCTACACTAGTACATTAGCACATAGTGAGACATATTTACAGCCAATATGGTAAAATGGACATACAATGTCATGGCTCCTGAGGTGGTTTGATTTTTGTTTAAAGGACAAAATGGTTTAAAATATACTTAACATTTGGGTTGCCGACCCCGTACTAAACTTTTACTGAGCTTAGGTATGATGAGAGAAACCTAAATAGGCTGTGACCAGCGGTGTAACTATTAGAACTAGGCTTTCAGTTCAGGCCATAAATGAGAAAAAAAAAAACGCCCTTACGATAATGTTAAGCTTAGCTAAGCTAACAGAGATTCATGCTGATATTTTCTTTTTTATATTTATTTTCTAGATTAGACATAGATATTTGGAGCTTGAAACAGACATAAATTTCACCCTGTAGCAGTTTTAAAGTGACTCCTTCTCTAAAGAGCTCTGGCATAGTCCTGTCACTTTTTGTATTTAGCAACTGACTGAAATACATTGGTTAGACGTCCAGAGAGCCTACATTCCACATAATTGGAATACCATTGGAAATCAAAATGTGATTTGTTGATTCCACTGTCCGTTCCTAATTATATTAGTGGTTAACCCGATGGCTTTTGTTTTAGCTCCTGAAGTCATAACCATTGGGAGAGCTAGCTTGGCTGTATCTACCTAGACACCACAGAGGAAAAAATCTGGATAATGTTCACTTGGTCATTTCAAGATTTTAACCTTTTTGTTTCCAACCAAAACTTGACAATGTAATAAGAGTATTACTACAATAGTATCAGAGCTTAAATGCAACATGCTTGATGATTATATTAAATAAAAGTAAACATCAAATTTTCTTGTTAGAGGGTTCTCTATTGATTGTGATTTATACTAACAAGCTGGCCTATATGTGCCAGCACATCTGTCTGTGTGTGTACAGTCATATGCAAAAGTTATGGCACAATATGTTAAACTCACCAAATAAGCTATATTTCCTGTAGCGGATGTGTTAATGTGAATTATGTAGAAAGCAGAAAAACATTTAATTTATCCAGATTTTGCATATGACTGTCCAAATTGCTTATTGATGGCCAGCACTTCTAGTTTTGTTTAAGAAAAAAAAGGCTGGACTTTCTAAAGTAGGTCAGGTTTTTGTAGTTTCCTTGCCTCTTAAATAGTTTTCACTGAACTAGGACTGCGGTTCTCCAATAAATTATTATCTCTCTCCAGGATTTGGTGATGCGCATTCATTGTCACCTTGTATTTTTAGAAATGGCTTGATTCCACCTACTAAAGCTAGGACCATTATTGCCAGCCACCTACAAATTGTGTGTGTTTAGAAAGGTGTAAACAAACTGAGTAAGCAAGACAAGACTAGGGGGTAGGACAAGCTGCAGAGGTCGGCGCAGGTGGTGGGATTAGCTGATTAAAGGAAGTCATTTTCAGCACTGATTTTCATCGGGATTATGAGCAGATAATCCTGGGGCTGTGCAGAGCATGAAGACTTCTAACAGGATTTCTCGTTCCTGCCAATACCTCCGGCCTCCTCCGTCTGGGCAAGCCCTGCATGAGTGTTTGCATCGGCTGTTTTTTACTATTAAACATGCTCGCTATCTTTTAGTTATATTCATATCCTCTTTCTCTCTCTCTCACACACACATTCTCAATTAACCTTGGTAATGTTCTTGACATTTAGAGATGGGTTTGTTGTGTCTACCGCCCTACTTGACAAGGGCTGTAATGTGGACAAGTATTTCTTCCAAATTTCTTCCAGCAATATGTCGGCTACAATTGCACTAATCAGCTGCCCTCCTTAGCAAATTTTTTGACCTTATGGGTCCTAGCTGAATCAAATACTGACGGACTCCGCAGCCTGCATTGGATTCAGTTGAGTGTTTCTTGAACTATAACAGTGGTTCACAATTCCAGTATGCCCTGCTCCATTTCATATTTCCCCTGCCTAGCCCAGGTTGACAGGTCAGTCTAGTGTCCTCTACTCACCTGGACTGGGTTGCACCAGCTTTGCGTAAGGTTATACTTTTTTGCGTAAAGTCTTTACTAAGTCCTTAGCTAACACTAGTTAGCACATTTCAAACCATCCTTTTACTAAATTTGGTTGCACTGCAAATCCGTAAGTCATGTCTCAACTTGTAACAACTAACGTGTACATCATGGGGCAGTCATGGGCTGGAGGTTAGGTAACCAGCCCTGTGACTGGAAGGTCGCCAGTTCGATCCCCTGAGCCGACAGCACGTGACTGAAGTGCCCTTGAGCAAGGCACCTAACTCCCAACTGCTCCTGGGCGGCACTGCCCCCTAGTGTGTGTGTCCACTAGTGTGTATGTGGTGTTTCACTGCACAACGGCAGTTTGTGCTGAGTTTTTCAATGGAAAAATTATTCAGCCTAGAAGAGAACGATGTGTAAAACTGAATAAACCTAATTATCTATAGCCATTGCCAGTTTATTCATTATTATTTCCCAGAGACAAGCAAATATGCAGTTATTTATCTAGGCAGTAGGTTTCTGGCTAACCACCCCTGTCGACTATCACTGAGCTTGAGCTGTGGGTGTTTAGCTAGAGTTTACACCAGGGCAATGATTAGAGCTATAAAATCACAGTGTATAGCGTTTAGAATTTTTAGCTTAGTCAACCAAAAAAGTCATGTTTTTGTTCTTTTTTGGGGTTTTTTTTGTGCGTGATTATTTGCCTTGACATTCCCTCGTAATGACTAAACGTGTACCAAAAATTGAAAATTGAACAATGTTGTCAAAAATCGATGCAAGCATGAGAAGTGGCAAGGAATTACAGATGACATCAATGCTAAGGGGGTTGAAATCAGAGAGCTTCGGGAGGTAAAAAAAAAAATGTAGTGACCACAAAAGCCAGGCCACTGAAGACTTTCCCAGGTCCAAAACCTGTCCAACTAGAGGTGGTTCCAGACCTGACACTGGGCCTTACTCCACCTTAGTTTTGGAAATCATAGGGAAGGACTCACCTGCAGTCATAGGTATTAGGGTGGAGTGGAGAGCAATTCACAGAGCCAGCCACCACCTTCCCAGACAACTAGTCAACTACTGAATGACAGTCTGCAAGTCCAAGACCAAGAAGACCAGCCACTACTACAGTCATGAAGCATACTAGACTTAAACTTAGACTTAAGTCAAATTTACACCATACAGTGCGCATTAGAATGAAATTACATTGCATTGGCTCGGAGTAGATTGGGGGGAAAAAAAAGTAATGCAATGTGGTGCATATGTAAACATATGTATATCAACAGATAAATAAATTTTAAATAAGTATATATACAAGAGAGTGTATTGCACTGGAGCTCCCAGGTATGGAGTAATCAAAAAAGAATTGAAGCAGCATTTTATTTAGAGTTCAGCAGTCTTATGGCATGTGGGAAGAAGCTGTTTTTGAACCTGGCTGTTCTGTTTCGAAGACTTCGGAACCTCCTTCCAGAGGCCAGCAGCAAGAACAGTCCATGGTAGGGGTGGGAGGGGTGTCTGTTTATGTTCTGAGCTCTGGTCAGACAGCGACTTGTCGCAATGTCCTGTATCGGAGGAAGTGAACTCCCAATAATTCTCTCTGCTGTCCTTACCACCCTCTGCAGGGACTTCTAGTCAGAGGTGCTGCAGGCACCTGCCCAGACAGAGATGCAACTGGTCAGTATGCTCTCTACAGTGCCTCTGTAGAAGGTGGTGGAATCGGAGGGGGGAGGTGTGTTCTTTTCATCCATCTCAGGAAGCGCATGCACTGCTGAGCTCTTTTGACCAGAGCTTCAGTGTGAGTGGACAAGGTCAAAGTGTCCGTTATCTGTACCCCCAGGAACTTGGTTTTCTCTCCACTGCTGTGTCCTTGATGAGGAGTGGTGTGTGGTTGGGTTGGCTCCTCCTGAAGTTGAGGATGATCTCTGGTTTTCCCGACATTCAGGACCAGGTTGTTGGTTTCGCACCAGTCAACCAGATGGTTCACCTTCTCTTTGTAGTCCAGGTCATTGTCATCCTGGATTAGGCCCACTACTGTCATGTCGTCTGCGAACTTCACTGTTGGTAGTGGACCTGGCGCAGCAGTTGTGGGTCGTCAGGGTGAACAGCAGCGGGCTCAGGACACAGCCCTGAGGGGAGCCGGTGGTCAGAGAGATGACACTGGAGACGTTGTTGCCCGCGCAGACTGAGGTCTATTTGTTAGAAAGTCCAGCAGCCAGTTACACAGGTGGGTGCTGAAGCCAAGGGGGGCCAGTTTGCTTATCAGATGTTGTGGGATGATCGAGTTAAACGCTGAGCTGAAGTCCAGAAACAGCATGCGCACGTGTATTCTTTCCTTCCAGGTGTTCTGAGCTCAGGTGAAGTGCAGAGGAGATGGCATCCTCTATAAAGGGATTTTGGCGGTAAGCAAACTGG